CCCCAAAACCCCAAAACCCCAAAACCCCTCAAGTAGAAATATATTAATAAATGATGAAAAGTATATTTAAAAGAGATAAGAAAAAATTATATAAAATCTTTATATTACAAGAAATGGAATAGTATAGAAGAATGGTAACATAGAGAAACAAAGTAGAAAAGACAAACTGACTCTAGGAGACCAGAGAATTTCTAAATGAAGCAAATAATAAGAATGCTATATAGGTGCAGCATTCTTAGACCATTTAACTCTCTGGCAATTTCGCTATCAAGCAGTTATAATTAGTTAATTAATCATCCTAATAACATTCAAATCAACCCTGCTAATTATTGAGAGGAAAATCTGAATTATTTAAAATAAGTCTAGATTAGTAATAAATGAATGATTTATTAACTCCCACAAAAGCTATTTCAAGGCAAAGTTCGAGTAGAAGATCAACACATAGACCATTAATTAAAATGCCAACTAAAAGAAATTTTCAAGACATTCTATAATCACCTGAATTTTAAACGAAAGAACTGATAGAGGAAAAAATGCATAATACAAACATTGAATAAATTTAGCAACATTCAGAACTAAAATAACATGGAGATGTAATTTAATTGGTAGATAACAATAATCAACACAACTTCGAAAAAAATGTAAAATACTTAATAAATTAACAATATTTTAGTGGATCAATCCGAATAATAAAGTTTACGAAAAATGGATTTTCCTGCTCTTATTCATTAATTTAATCTGGGTCTAATTCACAACACCTCTTAGAATGTCTTTTGAGGATAAAAGATCAGTCTTTGGTCCAATTGCCTATGGCGATATGATAGTAGATGTCATCTACCTCATTGAGAGTATTCTAACATTTTTCATTCCTGACACGAGTGTTGAAGGTGAATTTATCTTTAACAGGAAAATTGTAGCAAAGAGATATATGATGACTTGGTTTTTATTAGATAACCTAGCCAATTTTCCTTATAGTCTTTTCAAATACTACAAACGCCACTAGTTTGATAACGATTTATAGAATTTCATATATTTCAATTTTGCCTATACCCCCAGACTATTTATCATCTTTTTGTGCTTGAAGCTTGTTCGAATTAGGAAAGCTAAGAAATAGTTATTGAAGTTTCTTAAATGGTTAGGTTTAGGCGTTGATAAGAGAAATTTAATTATGACATTATGGACATTGATTTTATTGTTACATTTAGCTGGATGCTTTTGGGGTGCTGTAGGTTTGTTTAATCTCGATTCTAATTAGAATTGGATATATGCTGAAGAAATTCAAGATGACACTCCTTTCGTTTAGTATTTTACAGCTCTATATTTTGCTACTACTGCAATTATGACTGTAGGATATGGTGATATTTTGCCAGTCAATTACTGGGAAAAACTCTTTGCTTGCATAATTTTTATACTCGGTGTTGCTATCTTTTCATTTACATTAAGTACATTATCTTCTTAATTCAGTGATTTGACAAAGAGTGTCTCAAAGAGATAGTCTAGGGACAATTAGATTAATGAGCTAAGAAATAGATTTGGCCTTAGTGTAGAAATCACCAAGAAAATTGCCTACTATTTTTCACATAGTGAATCAATTCTAAGTGTTTCATAAGATTATGAGATAAACAAAATATTGAAAGTTTTACCTCCTTTTTTAAAGACGAATTTAGCGCTATTCCTCTATAAGGATGCCATAAGGGATATCCCTTTTTTACAGAATCGAGACTAAAATTTTTATTTAGACTATTTAGACTTATTAATCCCAGTGAAATTTGAGAAGGACACAATTATTCTAAGAGAAAAAAGAAAGCCAGAAGAAGTCTTATTCATTTTATAGGGTATAATTTTGATCACAAATTCTTATAAAATATATAGGGGAAGTAGTTAATTAGAATACATAAAGAATATTTACAGTAGGCTCAATGCTAGGAGAAACTGATATTTACTTTAAAAGAGTAATTTATTCATACTTAAAAATATAGGAAAGGGTTGAGACCTTCTAAGCTTTAAATAATGTGTACATATTGATGTATGATATAGAGACATTTGTAAGTAGTTTATTAGTTTTTTATATTTATAATCAGGAGGAGATACTAGAATGCTATCCTAACATGAAGGAAGAAATCAAATAATTTGCTAATGAAAGGGAAAAAGATAGAATATTTAGAATGAATTCCAAAAATCTTTTAGACGATTAATAGATGAAGATGAAAATCTTGGCTGAGCTTCAAATTTTACTTGCCAAGGAATTCAATTAAATGCTAGAGTAACAAAACAACTAAGCCTTAATGAAAAAATAAATTACAAACAAGGAGGGAGAAGCTTATTAAACTCCAGATGAGGTATTAGCTTCAAAGCTCTATGCAGCAACAATCAAGAAAATGGATACTATAATGTCAAAAAATTCTGACAGTAAGTGCCTATTTTTAATTGAATTAGAATATCTCATTAATACTTACAGATTATAGTGTGCAATAAATATATAAATAGAGTACATTTTTCAAAGTAAAGCAAAAGACAGTATGCAATTTTACAGAGTCAATGGAAAAAATTGATCTTCTAAAGAGCTAAGTACTTCAAGAAATAAAGAAAGACATTGATTAGGAGTAAGTATCTAATGGAAAAGATGCTTCTTTTTCTTTCGGTAGAATGACAAATCAAGATAACTCCTTCTACAACATAGATAATATTAGAAGAACTTTTTCTTCAGCAAAAAGTAAGATTAGAGAAATAGAAAAATCTCAATTTCATGAGCAAAATTATATCGCTTGAGAAATGACTTCGAGAAAAAAAGATTATATGCAAATGGATAAATATGTGTTAAATGATAATGAGGAATCCAAAGGAAGTATTGGAAAAGATTATTATAGTTTGAAGAACATTGAAAGCTCGACCAATAGAAAAATAGATTCTCCAAACTAATTGAATTACTCACCTTTAGAAAATACTCCACCCAAGTATTTTAATCATGAAATAAAAATTGAAAGATTCAAACTTGAGGATACTGTTGAAGAAGAAGAAGATGTGAAGTCTCATGATTCATTTGATTCTACTTCTAACGCTGCAAAAAGCTAGGTCACTCAAACGATTAAGGATTCCAATGAGTTGTATGGATTATTACCTGTGATCAAAGAGGGGAAATACGAAGATGCTGGTACTGATATAGAGTATGATCAGAACTAAACCTTAAAAAAATCAGCGAGTTAGTATGAAGTAAATTCATCAGGAGATTTTAAATAATCTGACTTGATTAACTCAACGATAATTAAAGATAATAGTGTGATAAGAAAACTTTTATAACAATCATAAAGTGACCTAAAAATAGAGCCAAAGGATTATAGTCTTGATAAAAATTCATTTTTCTACTCATCAATTGATATGAAATTGACTAAAAATGTTCAGAGATTTAATCAAATTGTTTTCATTATTAAACGATCAAAACTCATTCTTAATGAGTATATGAACTTGTTTAAAAATTATTTGGAGAAAGTTGATAAAAAAGAGAAAGCTATGGTTAATTAGTAGATTATTAAGACTACTAGGCAAGCAATTGAAGGAGTTAAAAAGTACTTGAAAGTTTTGGCACAATTAGAAACCTAAATGCACTCTCCAAAGGTATTTCTAGACATAGTTGATTAAATTAAGAATAAAGTAACAGATTAGAATATTCTCATGGAAAAAGTCGATGACTATTTAGAATAGTTGCATAATAAATATGGAAAGCCCTAAACAGTTCGTGAACTTGAAGAACTTCTCATCAGACAAATGAAATTGATGGCAATAAATGAAGTGGATGAAAGAGAAAATGAGCAGGATGACTCTATCTATAATGAACAGGAGTTTTTACCTCAATCATTTCGAAGTTATAATGCTATAAGCTATAATGAAAATGCTAGGCTAATTGCTGAGATCACTGAGTAAGATGAGCAAATTAACCTGAATGATATTCCATTGACTGAAAGAGTTAGGAACAAAAATACAAATATAAAGCATAACTCTGATAAAGAATCTTCAATTCATTAATATTCGGACCTTTACAAAATTGATGATAGCCAATACCTTGGTAAACTAAGCTCCTTTAGATATGAGAAAAATTCTCAAAGATCTTATCTTAATTAGTGTAGTAACTAAAATAGAAATACTCCATTAGATCTTTCAAGCTTAGGTTTCACAAACAGTAGTAGCAGATAAAGTAACCAAAATACTAATCCTGATTTCGGATTTACTTAGCTTGATAGAGAGACATTTGGTCATTATTAACAAAATTAACAGAATAATAATAACAAAAGAATATCTGATCATAGTGACTCCAGCCTTGAATCAAAGAATTTTAATATTTTTGGCTAGAAGAAGAACTCATTAAGCATTAATCCAACATTCTAATAGAAATTTACGGGTCCTCAGATAGAAAAGAATCCAACTATAAAGAAAAATATGGATATAAATTAGCAAATTCGATAATAAACAACAAAAGTTCCTCCTGAACAGAGTAAGTTTGTTATTAGTACAAATGGATCATTCATATCAAAGAATCCTTTAAACTACTGAAAATTTATAATGTCAACTAAACTTGGCAATTATTGTAAAATATAAAAGTTATGTATTTTTTTGCAATTATTATTAATAGTTTCAACAATAATATAATTATAATCATAACTATTTGTCTAACTATTTGTCATGGGGTTTTGGGGTTTTGGGGTTTTGGGG